ACACTATATACTTTCAACGAACGAACTCAGCGAAGCCAGCCCCATCGATAAACAAAGCAGTTTTTGACCGTACGATCAAACTGGAGAGAGATCGCGATACCACTAAAGTGGTAAACCTGACTTCTAACTAAACTCACCCTACAAATCTATGCGTACGGTGAACATCTCGAACTCTACACGTCAGATAAACAAACTAAATGGCCGACCCAACAGACAAGCAACTCAAACGACTCGATCTCTAGTCCGGCGCATTCAACGAATCCATTACAGCAGCGACATGAACATGCCCAAATCGTTTCATCTTATCGATTAGTTTTGGTACTATTTGTATTTTTCGTCAATTCTTACAATTTGTACAATTGCCATTATTGCCCGTTGAAATTGTCATTCAAAAAACTTAACCTTTGACCTTCCGTCCCGGTGTGTGAACACACATAAAATGACCCATTAATTATCGTTAACAAATACATTACATTCGTTCTACTCAAGCCACATTTTAACTCCATCACTTATAGGCTCATTAACCTTGATTGTCTTTATATGATCATATGTGTGTTGATTACTTACCTGATTCATGATGTGTCTGTAATGTAATTTTATTTGGCTAAAAATGTCGAGTCACACTTAATTATATCGAGTTGGTTCATTTGCCTTCCCTAATATACTTCTGTCTTCCCTCTTTGTTTTGTCTCCATGATTACCTATTCAAATTAATGAGTGCATGAAATATACATATTCAGAATTCATTCTCGTATATGGCTTATTTAATTCAGTTAATCACTAAAGCGGCTTAAATCGACAATTATATACAAGGATAGCTGACATATGATTTCGATGACAATCATTCATATAATCCAAATGGAGTCGGATCTCAAATCACTAGAATACCTTATTTAAAAATTCTGTCATAAAGTGCTAAGCATGATAAAAACTAGTAGTAACTTAAATGTTACAAAATGGTTACTTAGATAGAAGCTAAAATAATCTTTCAAATAATTGTTAAATACTAAAAACTAATGAGGCGTAAAAAACAATATCATACAATAAATACACGCTATCTTAAATTGCTTCATAAATGTTTCATATTGCTTAAAGTTGAAATTACACGTTTCCATTAAACACAATGGTATGATATAAAACAAAAACGTTTATTGATTAACTTCAATGGACTAAGTAGAATACATTTTGATGGATTTTTGATGAATTTTTTTGGAATACCGTTTTGTAAGTTCTTACGATGAAAGTATTCAGTATTTCAAATATGAAACTTAAGATAAAATGTAAAGAAACGTGATTATTGGAGATTATGGTTTTCTAACAAAACTCAACAAGGAAACAAAATCTAGTTCTTTGGATAATAAAATTAACATAGTACTAGTAGGCGGATAATTATTCTATTGTTAGATTTTATCATTGATGAAGTTTTCTTATACTCTAAATAGAAAATAAATATCAATTATTATTTGAAATAACGAGAATAAAATTTCTAGACGTATCGGGGATTGTGGTTTAAACCAAGTTGATTGTTATTAAAAAGTAAACTATTGATTACGAACGATCTTTGAACAAATCTTAAGTGACTTTGAGAATTTAAACCAATCAAAAAATAGTCTCTTTGGAGTAAAAATATACAATACAAAATCGAAAAATTAGAGTAGATGCACTTCTTTACCATGGTTTAAAAACTTTTTAAGGTTAGAAAGAAGCTCTGCAGATCTGAAATCCTGATGCATATGATACAGTAACCCATCCATGTGACTGCATAACAGTTGACCTCTGGAGCTGTGATAAGGTCGCGAACATTCTTTTGACCTCGACCATATTGCTTCTACACTAATTGTGTGCACTACAGTGGTGGGGTCTAAAAAACGTCGCTTGTGGACCGATAGGACGATTCACATAACGAAGTCTACATAAGCATCGGCACGCTCTCTAGTCATTTGTGTATATGATGGATCACGGCTGCATATATTCTCGTATAATCAGTATCACTGTCGTGAATTTTCGGTTTTTAACGCGTTTGAGGTCTCTTTTTTGAGATGATTTATCGTATATTCCAAGGACCTGTGAAGTATAGTTATGGAAGTGCAACTAACCCAGTCCTCTTTAACACTTTGACCCCAATTTAATTTTCGTTTTCTAACAACCGTTTCTTTTATTTCTGCGATTCTCCCAACTCCTCCAAACGACTGATGCAAGCTTGTGATTTTTGCCGCTCATATATCTCAGCATACTCATACCAGTGAACTGCCGAAGCTTCGGTAACATCTGCAATGGTTGCAGTCAGTGTTACTGATGTTTTTGTTATCCAGTTTACAATAATTATCATAAGTTGTCTTAGAATCAGTCGGGATCGAGGGAAAACTTTTCTCGTTCTAGCAGAATTTTTCCTCTAACATATAACACATCCAAATAAATCACGACAGTCTACATAAGGCCTGGAATTCATTTGATTACCGCGATCACAAATAAAGGAACTTTTTAGTAATCTCATTTGTTGTATCCGCTCCACCGTAACTTCTCAAAAATAGGCTGTAAACCGATCATACTTGAGCAGTGAGTACTGAAATGGGCACCGTGACCTTGAAATCGTCCAAACGCTTATGACTGGCTCGTCCATAAATTATAGTCTCGCCTAATTTTCTTTGAATGCTCTCAATTATTTCATGTAATTCACTGTTAATGTTTGTTGTTACTTACGAACTTTAATTTATATTTCGTGCAAATTATTTCTACAGTTTTGGTGTTAGTCCTCAGTTAATGATGGATAAATGACCTATTTAGCAATTATCACGTTCAGTAAGTTATTAAAGGAAATATTTTAGTAATCATCTCAGTCATCTTACATATTTTCTCATTTATTTTTATCATGACAAATAGCAGAGTAAATGATAAGTGACTTAAGTATGAATTCATTATAATTTATATTTTTCAAATCAAAAATCAATGCATAACGTTCTGATTCACAGTTTAAGTTGATAATTTAACTGACAAAAAAAATCTTACTTAATCACATTACCTGTTAGATTGATAAATGTTTAGCAACTTGTAGCTCTATCAACTAATTTCATAATATTTATTCACATAGTTGGATGGTGACGTATACAATTTTTTTTTCATTTAATGACTATTTTGTTTGGTTATCGTTTCATTATTTTACATGTACTGAGATGCAGGTTTTGACTGTATATATTTTTTTACTTCCTGTCTAATTAGTTTTTGTTGCTAATATGATTAACATTTCTAGGCAGGTGGCAAGAACACACAACATATGAATACATGTTATTCCGTTTCAATGGTTATTCTTGTTGCATTTGAAATAACGTGAAACAGATGCTCATACATACCAGTACATATAAATCGTTTACTATACTTATCATGGATTTCTAATACAAAATTTATTTATGAATCTAAAAAACCTTGATCATTCTAAATCTATGATGGATGGAAAAGTATACTGCAAACATTTGTTAGTGTAATTAAACAATAAGGTTGCTTCATTCTGTATCTAATTACTCTAGCGAACACGTTTCACATATCACTTTCATTTTCCTGCTAAATGTCTGCTTTTTATTTTAGTTTGAAATATCCATAGTTGTAACATTATGTTGACTTTGGGTTGGAAGTAAGTTTTAAGTAATTACAAAAGATACTGGGTTTGATCAGTATATGGAGTTTGTGAAGATTATCGAATTTTTTTGTGTCACATCACTGACTGATCATAGCTATGTAAATGTCGTACGCCCACCTAAATGTTCGTCACGGGCTTTAAGGTCCTGGGTTTGATCCCTCGCAAGGTCGCAAATGCATGGTGATGAGGAGCGTTATACCAATACAAAACAGCTGTCCTAATCAAGATTAGTATGTGAAATAAACAATTACTCACAGGATTATTAATTGGAAAAGTATTTTTAAAGTGTAGTCCCAACTGTGTCTATACGTAATATACCTTCTGATATCGTAGAAAAGTCAAAATAATCAATTAAATAAACCTTTATCTTATTAGATTTATAAATATAATGCTTATCTGTATTAATTTAGAACCTCTTCGATTATCATAGTTGTAGACTTTGATGTACAACTCATCAGTATTCTCATCATATTGATGATCAGAATAATCGATATTCTGTTTAATAAACAAAAAATATAAGTAATTTATAACCTATGAGTCGTATGAAACCTATGATATGTAGTCTAAATCGGTGATGGTTAGAAATGAATTTTTTAATATATATATATATATATATATATAATATGGAAGTTAGTAATTGGGTAAGATCATGAGTCGATTGAAGCTAGACCGCCATGGAAAACCGGGAAGCACTGGACGACCCTAACCCATCTGATATTAATCAACATATCCTCACTAGTGACTGACGTCAAGAGGTATATTCTGGAGTTCTAGCTAGAAGTAGTGACCAATGGAGTTCAACCAGGTCCATTGCGATATAGTAACTCACTGAAGACAATGGTAGATGTGTCTCTCAATTTCGTGGATTAGCTGAAGTTAAACATTAACACCGTTGGATGCCGGCCGGCTCAGTGGTTTAGTGGTTATGTGTTCGCGCGCGATACCATTAGGTCCTGGGTTCGAATCTCTCAGAGGGCGAGGCCATGCATGGCCACTGATGAGGAGTCTTCCAATAGGATAAAACAGCCGTCCAGTACTTTCAGGTTTTCCATGGTGGTTTAGCTTCAACTGACTCATGATCTTAACCATTGAAAATATGTATACTTCTTTACTATCAACTAGTTTGATATACAAAATAAACTGCACTATTATTTCTTACATTTTTTTTCTTTTTTGTCTACTTAATATAACTTTCGATTCATAAGTATTAGAATATAATGTTTAATTGCCAATTAAATTACTTTATGACACACCATATTATAGGGATGTAATTTTTCCCCAATCATATGTAGATTAGCTAAAACAATTGTGATTGGTCAATTTTCGGTTAACCATATGGAATGTATAAACATCAGCATGTGTTATATTCAAATTTCAATGTATTTTATTATTATTCTTATTTATAACTATACAAATATGTATGAAATCGAATGATTTTAAAACAAACAAACAAACAAAAACAGTATGTGATAAACAATTTTTAAGATACTGGAGTATTATCATCTTGATTAAGTTTTCTTACATAAAACAAAATAAAAAGATGCAAAGTGATATTGTTTTTATTTCAAAACATCAATTACATGAAAATGTTAATACAAATTTGTAAAGATCTAATTTGAATTCTTTTATACAATTTATAATCTAGATTAGTTAAAACAAAGAAATATTGTATAAACACATTTATAGATGATGATTATTCTTATTCTTATTATAGTAATTTCTATCATGATATTATAAAATGGAATATAGATGTACAAATGTTCAAATTACAATTTATTTTCCCATCATTTATTCAATCGGATTATCGAATTGATAAACTGTATTTCTTAGAATCATTATTTTTCTCTTTATTAAAAGTACGTTTAAGTTATAGTTTTATATTGATTATTATTATGATATACGATATCTGGTTTACTACCTCTACAAAATTGTTAGTCAATAATTCTATTGATAATCGGATGGTTAGTAATATTGTAGATAAAAAATTATCTAAACGATTAGTTATCAGATCTACTTCTATTATGTATGATAATTTACAATCATCTAATGTTGCAAGTCCTATTACATTCAATGTAAATGAAAATACACCTATTGGAACAATTATCGGTTATATACCTGAATTAATTTATCCTACACCTTTAGCAAACATAAAATTCACTCTTCCGCATAATACATTTTTTGAAATTGATTATAAAGGTGCCCTACGTGTCATTGGTGAGTTAGACAGAGATGATAATCCATATTTATGCCTTGAACCTAGTTATCCACAACATTGTATATGGAGTAGTTTTGCTATTACAACCGATGGTCAATATATAGGATTACGTATTACTGTTAATGATTTAAATGACAACATTCCTAAATGGCCACAATCATTTATTTCGATCAATGTACAAGAAGAAATTAAAACAACACAAATGTTTGAATTGCCTTTAGCTAGTGACCCGGATTATGGGATAAACTCAATACAAGAGTATAAACTGGAAACAGATAAGATGGAATCGAAATATTTTAAATTACTGGTGGAAAAACATACCATGGAAAATTTAAGTTTATACAACTTTCATTTAGTATTAAGTGTTATTGAGTCATTGGATCGTGAAAGGCAAGCTTGGTATAATTTAAGTCTGTTAGCTGTCGATGGTAATAAACCATATCATACAGGTACGTTGAAAATAACTGTTCATATAACTGATGAAAATGATCATGCACCAACATTCTCAAGTAAAATGTATCAAGCTGTAATATCCGAAGACTTAGAAATAGGAAGTGTGATATACTTAACTGAAAACAATCAAACTTTCAACAATGTTGATCCATTAGGTATTCTAAGTGATGATTCATCATCTAAACTTCGTACCAAAAATCAATTGCATGCTACAGATCCTGATGAAGGCTTAAACGGTGAAATTGAGTACCACTATGCTGCTTCAACACCAAACTCTGTTCTTGAAAATTTTGAGTTAGATAAGCATACTGGACTCTTGTATATAGCTCGGACGTTAAACTACGATATTGGACCAAATGAATGGAATTTCCAAGTAATTGCTTCAGATAAAGGACGTCCACCCAGATCAAGTACAACTACGGTACAAATCAGTCTGAGCGATGCAAATACTCACGCACCAACAATCAAGCCACGTATACAATTGTCAGAAAATTATAAGCAACATTTATCTAGATTGAACATTAGTATTACATCAAATAATCATAATATATTACACATTCCAGAAAATGTTCCTCATTCAAATGATGCACTGGTTGTTTTAACAGTAAGTGATCAAGATACTGGGTTGGGTGGTTCTTTTGAATGCAACTTGGGACCAAATGATATGAACACATTTGTTAAAAGCAGTATTTTGTCAGATATACCAAGTTATCCTGACCATAAAGACCATATTACAGAACAATTCTATTTAAATTTCACTGGGAAATTACCAAGGTGGAAAATATATAGTATATACGCTACCACAACATTCGATCGTGAACTTGAACCTACACATCTGTTGCATATCGTATGCACTGATGAAGGGACACCAAAAATGACTTCCACATATACACTTACTGTGATTATTGAAGATGAAAATGATAATGCTCCAGAATTTACTGAAAATCAGTATGAAATTCATGTAAGTCGGATGATTATTTAGTTTGCTACCTTGTATAACCCTCAGTTAATTTTTACAACTGTGAAGCAGAACTGTTTTAATACTGAGTAATTTGATTAAATCATTCACTTAGAATTTGAAACATTGACACAATAGCGTTAAAGTGGTTTCATTTATTCAAATACAAATTACTATAAATCTCAAACTACATAATAGCTACGATTTTTCAAACCGAATGATTTTGCTTTTTAATTAAAATTTATTTGAGTATGAAAATAGATTTAACACATGTAGACATCGACACTGGTTTCCAGATCGATGCATGAACTATTAAGTCTATAAATTGCAATACTGAACTTGTAGTGGCTTGAAATCATTTATCAATCACACTGATACCCATTATTAGATAAATCCAACAATGTGATTAAGCTGTAAATCTCATTCATCATTTAATACAGAAATCAGAATAATGATAATCCAAGAAATGAACACATAACTAAACGTCCGGTAAATAAAGCAAGTCATCTGTTCTGAAGGTATGCAAAACACGAGATACGTCTGTATTCAGTTATTTTGTAATGTGGTATTGCTTGAATAACCATAAGGAATTTTAGAATGTTTGAGCTAGACATTTTAGCAGATATTGAATTATTGAATAATCATAAGAAATCCGAATTTGTATATAATTTTCTCATCACTTTCTCCTCTAGATTTCATTAGATACTGATTTTAAAAAATATCATCCATTTTTTTAAAAAAAATATTGTAACGCATTAAGAATTTCAGCACAAACTCTTCAAAAATACCAAAGGAATAATTTCATACACATTGAACAAGTTAGAGGTTCTGTGATCATTGTAAAGTAATAGATAACGCGTTGATAGGTAGTAGGTTCGAATCTCAATATGAATATCAAGCTGGAATGTAAGTCTATCCTCTTGACGTGCCTATAAAACAAAACGTGTGTTCTTGATGCTACTTTACTTATAATGACTTTCTTCACATATTGCTATTCGACTTTAAAATATTTAATATGATAAACTGATATCGTATAGAAATCTTTGTGTTGATTACTTGTTTCAAGGAATGGAAAAAGAAATGAGAACTTAACTTATTAACTGTCTAAATGATGTTATAATTTATTATGAAAGAATCGGTAAAAATAAGCAATGAGTTTTTATATAGTATAGTTTCTTTAAACATGAATCGTTCAGACTAGAAAAGTTAGATAAAGACCAGCACCCAAGTTCAGTTGCACATTTATGTTGATCTAGTATTCATATAAAACAAATTGTTGATTAAATTTATAAGGTTAGTGATAAATTCAACTAACAAACTCTCATTTCATTTCACTTTTAATAAACAACATGTTCTAAAATGTGGAAAAGTACAAAATATAAGATTCCTAAAGTCGACTACTTATTTACTCCTGTTACTCTTAATGGAGCATAGGCCGCCGACCAGCATTCCTCAGATGTTTAAACACTAAAGACTTATTAACAATTAATTTTATGAGTAAACATATTTCATTTATACAAACAGATTGTAATCAATTATTTTTCAAGCATAAATAGTAGACATTGTAAATGATCATTCTCATTTATTTATGAATTTGTGAAATATCAATCTATTGAGTAAAGTTGTGACAGATCTAAACATCAGATCATCAGGTTCAATACAGAATCTGATGTATAATGAAATATTTCCGAATACAACACAGATTCGTGACAACTAACATTTACAGTGAAACAAAATAGCACGTAGAAATGCACACAGTAAATGTGTTTCTTCATTAAAGTAATAACTTATCCTCATGTTTTAATTTTAGTCTAAATAAATGAGATAATGGATGAATAATAAAAGATAAATAGTTATGAAGGCACAAAACTATTTTTTCTCACTAAAGATAGAAACCATTTTAGATAACATAATGCTGGAATTTGCTAATACATACATCCTCTTTCATATGGCTTCATTTGTGTTATTTGCTGTAGAATTATCTTAAACAGGTATCATTGTTTTAAGACGGTATTTATCATGGATCCGCTTTATCCATGGTATTGTTTAAAACCATGAGATTATAGTTTAGGAAATTTCAACAGTTAATGCTCAAAATAAGTATCACTAAATTTTAATCCATGATACATGAAAGTTTCAATTCTCGACATGGCTGTAGGTGTATGCTAAGTTGAAACATATACCTAATTTTCTTCCGATAAGTCAAGTTTATGGTAAAAATCAACACTACTAAGCAAATTAATCCTCATAAAACCCGTTGATGGAATATCCGAAATGCTTAGAAATAAAAAGATTTCAAATTATTTCCAGATAATTCTGTCACACATATAATTAGAAAATAGTATGCTAACCGTAGTATGATAAAATGTTCAAATTAAAATGAACTATAGTCAGTAGGGTTATAGAAACAGAAATAAATTAGTTGGGTTAAATGTTTAATAGACAAGAAAATAGAAAGGGAAGGAATGAAATGAAAAAAGATTACGAAAGATTAAAACAATTGTAAGATAAGAGTTTGTTTCTTCCGTACACATAATTCTGTCTTTTTTTTCAAATATATAGGAAATACTTTGGTAATCCTAAGAAAATGGAAGCTAACATATATTTGTCAAGGCATTTATATATCAAAAGTAATAAAGGTCAACTAAATAAGAGTTCAAATGTATATTGTAACATTTGTATATCAAAAAGAGAAAATGATTAATATGATATGTCTACTTCAATTGTTATTTAAGTGATCTTTATTACTTTCCATATACACGTCCTGACAAGTATATGGTTGACCAGATTGTTCGCAATATATAACACAAATACATCATATTTACCACATCAACTCTATCTTTTTACTATTCTATCCGAATTTCATAAAACGGACTTATTACTTTATATTTACAATTACTTAAATTTTAATCATCTTATTATATTCACTAAATCTATTGTTATTGTTATTATTCATATTACGTAATCTAGTGTTATAACCTTTTTATTGCCTAAATTAAATAACCTAAATGTAAAGGTATTTCCGACGAGACTTTAATTTATGGACGAGCCAATCAAAAGTGTTTGAGAGATTTCAAGGTCACAGCGCCAACTTCAGTGCTTAATGCTAACGTACGATCGGTTCACAGGGAATTTAGTACAAAACGTGATAATTGAGCGGCTATAACAAATAAAACGGTGAGAATATAATTTGTGGAAGAATCAATCATGTATAAGATAAATCTCAGATTTTGGCGTGAGAGTCTCTCATCCATTCGGCCAAATAGATTTCTGGCATTATAGCTTATGTCAGTCCGTGATGAAAACCCCATATATAATTCCTAATTAACGTAAATTATGACAATTATTGCGAACTGGATAATAAAAGCACCAGTAACGCTGGCTGCAGCCAGGTACTACAATATATTCGGATGATTGGAGAGCCTACAGACTACTACATAGGCTTGGTCATGTGCATCGTGTCATTATCCACAAGTGGCATTTTGTGTACTCAACAACCGCAGTGTACATAAACAATATTAAAGCTATGTGGTCAAGGCCGAAAGAGTTTTTGAAACTTTATCATGACTCCAGAGGCCGACTATTCTGTAACCATATTGATGATTTCCTCTACTGCATGTATTACGATCTCAGAACCACTAGACCTCTTTCTAACCTTGAAAAGTTTTTGAACCACATATAAAAATTGTATTCACTTTATTTCTTTGGTTTTGTATAATACATTTTTACTCTATACTTACTGTATGCTGATTGACTAATATTTCTCAGGTCACTTATGATTCGTTCAAAGGTCGTCCATAAATTAGAGTCTCGCCGTATTTCCTTTAGAGATTGTCTTAGTAATACAGAAAAGGAACTTGTTTCATATTTTTTAAAAATAAATCCTTAAATATTTTATTTTACAAATTAGATTCAAAACTGATAAAACAGGTTTCTACACAACTATTCATGGTTAGTGTTTATCCAACTTCGTAAATTCATTATTAAAATAATGATACAGACATTGAAGATACACCATTTTTATAATTAGATTCATGTTATCCTATTTGTATTCATGATATATGAAGAATGGTCTTAGTTAATGGACAAATATAATAAAATTTTAAGAAAAAAGTAACCATATTTGTTTTTTTTTTCAGAAATAAGAGATTTGTTCTTCATTATTTGGAAGTATTTTATTTCTTTTAAATGATCAAATTGAATGATCAACCCCCCTCCCTCATAAAATGATGTAAAAGATATTTTGGTTCAATTATTTTTTCATCATGTTTTTACACTAGTATCCATAGCTTTTGAATAGTTAAAATAAAGGGGTAGGTAGTGGAATTGTCTATGGGTGAATTATGACAATTTTCATTCTATGTGAAAGATGAACTCTATCCTATGATAGATTTTAATTGTTAGTTTGTTTGTGTATTCATTATAGAATATGATCCTATACATAATGAATGGTATTTCACGAGGAAATACAAGTGCAAATACATAAAGAAGTTTCATATTTGAAATGATCGTCAGTATTATTATTAGTATTACGTTTTTGTTAAACTTGAAAGCCACAAATGTATGAATGATATAAGTTGAACATGGAAACAACGTAGCATACTTTAATCTATATTGTGCAGTTAGTTGTACATTAATTTTGAGTTATAAGAACTTTTCAGTCATATTAAATCTCTTAAGTTATTTCCGTAATTTTAAGCAATCTTACTAAATATTCAGTTATCCATTAAAACTATGAATAATATTACTTTGTTTTATTTTGTAATTAAAGTCAATTATACACATAATACATTAAGTATAAGCTTTAAAAAAGAAAGTTTGGGAGTTTTACGTAAAGCACTCAGAAGAACAGTTGCGGAAAAATAGTACTATGGTAACCCATTTTAAAACCAAAGATGGAATTAAGTTAAGAAAATGAAGCTTTTTTAGTTAAAAAAAATAACTTAGAAAATTTAAAAAAATCTACAAGTTTTAAACAACATTCATTTAAGTAACTTAAGTAG